AGACTATCTGTTTCAAATTTCTGAGTAATTGTTACAGGTTGTCCACAGACCTGGCCAGACAGCATTGCATAAGTTACTCATCTGACAACTGGAAAGTCTTCATGACTAAGGGTATGTCTACACTACCACCCTAGTTCGAACTTGGGTGGTAATGTAGGCAACCGGAGTTGCAAATGAAGCCCGGGATTTGAATTTCCCGGGCTTCATTTGCATATTGCCGGGCGCCGCTATTTTTAAATGTCCGCTAGTGCGGACTCCGTGCCCCGCGGCTACACGCTGCACGGACTAGGTAGTACGGATTAGGCTTCCTATTCCGAACTACCATTACTCCTTGTGGAACGAGGAGTAACGGTAGTTCAGAATAGGAAGCCTAATCCGAACTACCTAGTCCGTGCCGCGTGTAGCCGCGGGGCACGGAGGCCGCACTAGCGGACATTTAAAAATAGCGGCGCCCGGCAATATGCAAATGAAGCCCGGGAAATTCAAATCCCGGGCTTCATTTGCAACTCCGGTTGCCTACATTACCACCCTAGTTTGAGCTAGGGTGGTAGTGTAGACATACCCTAAGAGAGTTAGAAAGTTTAACAAAAGAAAGGTCAGGTAATGCAGGTGACCTCATTATATTATGCTGTCCACATTAACACAACCATCTGGCTGGATTTGACTCATGGCTGTATATATGACATCCCTTGCTTGGTGATTTATATGTTAAAAAAACAAAAACTCTCCTCTTAATTCAAACAACAGCAATTAGCCCACTTGGGAGGCAGTTTGGAATCTGTTCCCTTTCCCCGTGTAATGCTCCTGGATTCCCTTTTGTCTCCTTAGTAATTTCCCTCCCCAAAAATGGCGGGTTGTAGCTCGTTTCTTTGAGGTGGGTTTTGTTACAAAATACCAGAAGGTAGAGCAAGATAAACAGGATTTACAATACACTACCTGTTTCTGTTTCTATGCACACACAGACCCTGTGAACACCAGGAGCAGCATCTGCACAATCTTCACAGCAAGACCATCATGAATACACATTAACCCATTGTTTTAATATCAGGTATTAATCTTTAATTCCACATCACAGCAGTCGAGTGAATGGGGAAGGAAAAGAAAAAAAAACCAGCAGATATTTACATCTAAAATTCACATCACTTACTTGTTGGTTCTGGAAACATGCTATCACAATATGTACAATGAAATACCTTTTGGACACTTGTTCAAATTATTTTTTTTTCTTTTACGGTTGCTTTCCATTATAGTTAAGATAGCTTTTTAATTTTTTTTAAACATGAATACACAAAAGAGAAGTGGTTAGAGGTTTTTGTTTTTTTTTAAATAAGCACAGAATGCCAGAGGTTAAAAACACATTTACAGGGCAGAGTACCAGTCAGACATCACAGTCTATACATTTTTTGCTCAATTTCCTGTACAAATACACAGCATTCAGATGGGATATATACAAAAAAGCATGATGGAAGGAAAATTTAAATATCACATTTTTTTTCTGCTTCTGCTCTACAGCCTTTCCAATTTGCCCGACTCCAACCCCAGGACAGACACATTGTAACCCCTTCCCCACCCAAAAAGGGAAAAAGAGATTAAACAAAAAGAAAAAAAAATTCCTGTGGTCTTGTACCTGGCAACACTACCAAAACATTCTCACAACCAGTGAGTAACTAATGTGGCAGAAATGAAAATTCCTGTGGCACCCTAAAGACTAGATTTTCTGGGCATAAGCTTTTGTGGGCAAAACCCCACTTCATCAGATGCATGCATGGAAGTTTATGCCCTTTAAGATGCTGCAGGACTCCTCACTGTTTTTGCGAATAGACTAACACAGATACTCCTCTGATAATGTGTCAGATTAATGCAATTCTTCCCATTGCTTCTCTTCTATTATTGCCTATTCCCATTCCTTTTTTCCCAGACAGGGGATGTAACCACCAGTGTTGGAGAGTTTAATAACCCATGCATTCAGGAGAGAATTGGTGAAGTCTTGAACAAGGCTGTTTTGCGGCCTAAGAACCCAAAAGAAGCACTGTCCATTTCAAACTTGGTACGTGACTATGGAGGAACCCTGCATCTTTTAACCTAAGGGCTTGTCTACACTGGCATGTTTTGTCACCAAAAACTGTCTTTTGGTGACAAACCAGTGGAAGTGTTCATACCGCAATGCATCTTTTGTTGGGAAAAACACCCAGTTTTGGTGACAAAAAACTTCCAGCCCTGGGAGAGACTTTTGTCTTTTCCCCTGCCTTTATTGTCAACAAAGAGCCAGACTGGACTCAGCTGTTTGTTTTGTCAGGTTTACCGGCTTCTACCTGTATCCCACAATGCCTGTCCAGATGGCTGTGCTCAGTATTTTGTGATCTCTGCTGCCATGCAGGCATGCGTCCCTCCACTTTCAAAACTCCTGGAAGTACCTGACAGCTGAGTGAACTGCTGCACTTGGGGAACAAAGTTGGAATGCTTCTGTTCTGCCCTGCTAGCAACATAGCAGCAGGCAGACGGGCTGGAGAGACTGCTGTGGTGCTTTGACACTGTTCTGCACGGAGAGCTCACAGAGCTACGAGGAAATCCCAAGAAGCAGCGGGATCAGCTTTGCCTTCCCACAACACTGCCCTGTGGGATGCTCACCCACACTGCTTTGCTCTATCTGTTGTCAGGGTGCTAGCAACATGGCCATGAAATGTCGACAATGGGAGGCAGAAAAAACAGTTTGGCCAGTTTTCACTTTTTGCAACTTTTGCATGCTGACAGCACTTTTGTTGCCAAACCTTCCCAGTGTAGAAATAGCTTATATCAAATTACTATAGTTATGCAGCACAGCAATACACCCCAGTGAGCCAAATTCAGCCCTAATTTGGGAAATGTAGTTGTGCCCGCTTACCCCAGGACTGAATTTGGTCTTTAAATTTCATGCTACTATTGGCCAACCATATTTTCCCCAGAGAGCAGTGTGAGTTTCACATTCCACAGATGTAAATTATAATGGAATCTCCCTCACCTCCTTCTCTTCTTGCATCACTACCACTCTCTGAAATTAGGTCTTTAAAAAGGAAAAAGTATTTTGCAAAAATTTGACCCTGGTTCTGAATAACTCCTCATAGACTCAATTCTAATATGTTTGCGTTAACTGAATTTGTCACTTCATGAAACTTGGTGGCTATGGGACCTGCTGTAAAATTAGTTGTTTATATAAGCTAACTGTGGAAAATAGGCTTTAACTCCCCCCCTTCCCTAGTCACACATCAAAGTTGGGCATCGCTATGCCAGTTCCTCCAACCAAGGCAGCATGATATACATTAGGAAATCTCTTAGAACTCTGACGAGCAGTTAAGCTGTGGTCAATCACACTGGCTGGATGTTAAAGTTTAGACTCCCTCCAATGTTAACTCCATACTTGCTCACATAGTTTTATGCATAGACACCATATTTTTTGCTCAAAAGGAGAGCTTAATACATTTCCAGCTACAACATAAACAGGAAAATAAGTGTCTTGCTCTACTAACATTTCATATGGAGATCCTGGGCCAGATTCTTAGATGGTAGAGATCAGAATATACCAACTTTACTCATGTATGCCAGCTGAGATTCTGATTCTGAAAAGAGTCAACGTTTTTCATTTCTACTCAGACCTGTATTAGCATTCATGCCATAGATGAAATACCCATAGTGGGCCAGATTTTAACAACTGTGTCTCAAAGGATAAATTATTCCAAATGCCCTGCTCTAGAAAAACTAAAGACAATGGGACAGATCTTTTTCTAGCCAGGCAGGACAATTAAGAAACAAAATTAGAACAATATTTCTAATGCATGGGCGACTGCTTGAGAGAGAATAAATCAAGAGTCTCAACACCTGGGCTACGTCTACACTGGCCCCTCTTCCGGAAGGGGCATGTAAATTTCACTAGTCGTCGTAGGGAAATCCGCGGGGGATTTAAATATCCCCCGCGGCATTTAAATAAAAATGTCCGCCGCTTTTTTCCGGCTTTTAAAAAAGCCGGAAAAGAGCGTCTACACTGGCCCCGATCCTCCGGAAAAAGCGCCCTTTTCCGGAGGCTCTTATTCCTACTTCAAAGCGGCGGACATTTTTATTTAAATGCCGCGGGGGATATTTAAATCCCCCGCGGATTTCCCTACGACGACTGCTGAAATTTACATGCCCCTTCCGGAAAAGGGGCCAGTGTAGACGTAGCCCCGGACTATACAATGGCCACCGGAGTCCAAACTTAATACTGATAATCATTTTCAGGAGAATTCAGAAGTGGAGTATGTGTCAACTCATTTTGCTTAGAGGTAGTGCTAAAGGTGACCTGCAAAGGAAAATAAAAGGTTCCCTTTTGGCTTCATTTTAGTGTTTATAATATCTAGGAAACAGCATGGATAGGGCATAAAATAGAAAATCTGGATACTTTAGTTCTGTTCTCATTTCTGCCAATGATTTGTGTGGTGTTGGGCAAATCCCTTAACCCCTATGTGCTCCAGTTTTCCCAGTTGTAAAGACAAGGAGCATAGATACTTATGCTCCTCCTTTGAAATGTGCTTTGCAATCTATGGATGAAAAGTACTATGCAAGTACCAGGGATTATTATAAAGAAGGGCGAAAATGAGAGTGTTTATTTTTTGCTTATTTATCTTATAAAGATCATGAATATAAAGTACTTGATTTTTTACTTCACTATTTTTGGTGCAAGATTTCTCAAACGACTTGAAATGGGAAACTTCTCAGCCCTCAAATAAAATGGCAGTATTATTGGATCTCTCTCACCAACAGAGCTTTTCTCCCATTTGTCAGGTACTAAGCAGGTGTTAAAGAAAGCAAAAAAAATTTATAACTAAAAACAGCCGGACTAAAATTCCCTTCCCCACTCCACTACTCTGGTCTCTTGCTATGTGTCGCATCATAAATGCACTAAATTCTATAGTCCTTTACAGAGTCTGCCAGCAAAAAAAGGGAAGTCAAGACTGGATATTTGTGCAATGTAAAAAACAAAGAGGTAAAAAACCTCTCAATAAAATGAGAAAACCTTTTCAAGCCTTCTTTAACATATCACAAAGAGGCAAGGAAGGTAACAAACATACCCCCTACCCCTTACAGTTCACCTTGAAATCCCTGAATCTGGAGTGCATGCTACCCAGCTCATAGTTTCCTGTATGCAGGGAGAGATGGAGGCATTGTGCATCAGCAGCAGTGAAATGTTTCAGAGGGGCACATAAGCTATTACAGTATCATACACAGTTAATGAGCCTCCGCTCCCAAGTGATAGATGTTGGGGTGGATTGTGCAGACTTTCAATCCTGAAGCAAGGATTGGATATGATGTATTCAAGCCTTCTCTTCTGACTTGCTGAATTATCAAGTTGTCACGGCACAAGCCACTCAACTGGTTCCTTGACTGGAATAAAAGTGCTGGTGACAACCACTTGCCAAGAGCTAGGCATGAGAAGAGGCTCAGAATTGGCCTGCAATCCCAAGCTACATAACCCTCTTTTACCCTGCAGTGAAGATGGATATGGACCACGACTCCAATGGAAAAGCAGGCTGGCTTACTCCATAAAAAATGAAATTAAGGAACAAAAACATGAAAACCAAAGTACATGTCCACAAAAACCTAAAGGAGGCAGAGTTTGTTTGAAGTAATACCTCAAAAATCACTATGGAAGCCTGTCAGCATTGATTAGATCGTCTAATCCCAATGAGTCAATGCAGGAGACTACTGTAAAGCTGTTTATGGTTACACACCTGGAAGAATCAGTTTCTTCGTAGAACAGCCAAGTTCCATTGCCTGCGGTGAATACACCTTCCAGCCTGACAGTTCATGGGAATCCCTGAATTCAGCAATGAGCTTTCTCTTCTATACAGCAAAGAAACATATCCCTAGTGCAACTGCTTCTATTTGTGTGCGTCTCAAAATGGGGAGGAAAGCTTTTCAAAACCACTCGCCACATCCCCCCTTCAGTATTCCAGTTCTTTTCAGTTTTTGCAAGTCTCTATGGCTAACAGCTTACAGGCCACTTTGTGTGGTCTGATAAACTGCAGAAGGAATAAAGCGCCCACTGCACACACACAAAAAATTAAAAATAACATAAAACTGGAAAGTATCAAATGCAATAAAAAGGAAAGCAGCAACCTCACATGCCGGCCCAAGCTCTGTATGGGCTCCAGACATTTACTCATGGCAGTAGAAAGTAAAGAATTGGATCATTGTTCTCTCCTCTGAATCCTGAACTTCTACATCTTTTCTTTTTGTCAGTCATGGAATTATTACACAAGCTCCTTCCCTGCTTACTGCTCACTGATGCCATGCTCCCATGCTACCCTGGCCTGCTCCTCCTTTCCACCACTAGTGGGTTGGGAGACTTTACGATGCAGTGGCCGGTGTTTGTCTTCCTCTTCCATCATCAACATAATATCCTCTTCATTCTCCATGTTTGGGAGCCGAGCATGGTATGGTTTTGGGGGGAGAGCTGGAGGGTCCATAGTGTCCTGAGGAATGACTCCGGATGGAGCAGAGTGGCTTCGACATGGCTGGGATTTGAGTGACTCCAGAACATCAGGTTCAGAGAGACTGTACCTGACAGGGAGGTAGGGCGTCTCTAAGTCTTCATCAGTATTCCAGGCCTGACTAGGGACAGAATCCATGGTGTCTGTGCGAGGAGGGGGCTCAGATGAGTGTCCAAAGTTACTCTCACTTAAGGAGGACACACCACTGCTGGCACTGCCTGACAGAGTGGAGTTACTTCCATCCAGGCCGGACTGGGGACTTGTGGGTGATGCAGGGATTGGATGAAGAGGAGACTGTTAAGAAAACACATTAACATCTGTGATCAGGCAATTTTGCATCTCAGCAGCCATGTTGCATTCTTTATGACTCATTAGTTACTGCCTAATTGCTTTTGTCTTAAGAAATGAACAGATCTGGGCTATTTGTGCACACGCACCTGAATTCCATGTACAAATGCCTGTTTGTACAGGCAAATGTACTTTTCCTGTAGGCATGGTCAAATGGTAAAAATCAGTAGTCACAGTGGTGATGCCCTCTTTTTCAACACTATTTAAGGTGTTTCATATCCCAGTATCCTCCACACCTCCCTTACTAGGACTGTCTACATTCCGCAAATCTCAGGGTATTTATGTAAAATCTGGCATCACAAAAATTACAATGAAAACATGAATAACGTGTTACTAGATTTTACACACAGATTTATTTTTTCAGTAATGTTACCATTTAGAAGTTTACTGCTATTAAAAATGTTTTCTGTATCTATTTCCTCTCCTTTGTGCAAGCGTACATATTAACAAGCTACTTTTTGTCTTTTTATTTTAAAAGATTTAATGCCACACTGTGTATCCCCATCCTGCCTAATGCATGCTGTCTCCCCACAATTCCTGTAGCACTTTTGGGGGGCAACTCTGCATTTATCTTAATTATACCTTTCCCAATTTTATTCCTCCTTTTTTGTTCCTTTCCTCTCAATTTTTTCTGGTTATTTCTTTATTTTTCTTCTCACTTCTCTATCCTCCATGTCCAATCTTCTCTCCAGATACCTATGTTGTGAACCAAACTGTCTGCAGGCGAGGTCCAGTGCGGTGTGATGGGGAATCACTGTGTGGCAAGTGGATTTGCAGCTATCCAGCTCCCAATCTGCTGAGAGGCTGTGAGGAAGTAGCTCCACCCAATAGGGATGTAAGCGACTATCCGATAAGCAAGGGAGGCAGTAGAAGAGGAGGTGCTGGGGGAGCCAGATTAAAAGCTGGTTCCTCCAGCTCTGTGGGCGGGGACAGGGTCACAGCGGTGGCATTTCACCTTTGAAATGTACAAGAATCCCTGCTGGGGCTCTTGTACATTTCAAAGTGGAAGCGCCACGTGGAGCCCGGGGCTGGCGTTGGGCTCCACGCAGCATTTCAAAGGCGGAGCGCAGTGCAGCACCTTCCACTTTTGAAATGTAGCAACAGCTGGACGGGCTCTTACTACATTTCAAAGCCGAAGCGCTCTTGTCGACTAATCAAATAGTTGATGGAAATTCCATCGACTATTCGATTAGTTGATTAACTTTAACTGCTCTATCACCCAAACAGCATAGAATCATAGAATCATAGAATAATAGGACTGGAAGGGACCTCAAGAGGTCATCGAGTCCAGCCCCCCGCCCTCAAGGCAGGACCAAGCTCCACCTACACCATCCCTGACAGATGTCTATCTAACCTGTTCTTAAATAACTCCAGAGAGGGAGATTCCACCACTTCCCTTGGCAATTTATTCCAATATTTGACCACCCTGACAGTTAGGAATTTTTTCCTAATGTCCAATCTAAACCTCCCTTGCTGCACTTTAAGCCCATTACTCCTTGTCCTGTCCTCAGAAACCAAGAGGAACAAATTTTCTCCTTCCTCCTTGTGACACCCTTTTAGATATTTGAAAACCGCTATCATGTCCCCCCTTAATCTTCTTTTTTCCAAACTAAACAAGCCCAGTTCATGAAGCCTGGCTTCATAGGTCATGTTCTCTAGACCTTTAATCATTCTTGTCGCTCTTCTCTGTACCCTTTCCAATTTCTCCACATCTTTCTTGAAATGTGGCGCCCAGAACTGGACACAGTACTCCAGCTGAGGCCTAACTAGTGCAGAGTAGAGCGGCAGAATGACTTCACGAGTTTTGCTTACAACACCCCTGTTGATACAACCTAGAATCATATTTGCTTTTTTGGCAACAGCATCACACTGTTGACTCATATTCAACTTGTAGTCCACTATGACCCCTAGATCCCTTTCTGCCATGCTCCTTCCTAGACAGTCGCTTCCCATCTTGTATGTATGGAACTGATTGTTCCTTCCTAAGTGGAGCACTTTGCATTTCTCTTTATTAAACCTCATCCTGTTTACCTCTGACCATTTCTCTAACTTGCTAAGGTCATTTTGAATTATGTCCCTATCCTCCAAAGAAGTCGCAACCCCTCCCAGTTTGGTATCATCCGCAAACTTAATAAGCGTACTCTCTATCCCAATATCTACATCATTGATGAAGATATTGAACAGTACGGGTCCCAAAACAGACCCTTGCGGAACTCCACTTGTTATCCCTTTCCAGCAGGATTTAGAACCGTTAACAACAACTCTCTGACTACGGTTATCCAGCCAATTATGCACCCACCTTATCGTGGCCCTATCTAAGTTATATTTGCCTAGTTTATCAATAAGAATATCATGCGAGACCGTATCAAATGCCTTACTAAAGTCTAGGTATATGACATCCACCGCTTCTCCCTTATCCACAAGGCTCGTTATCTTATCAAAGAAAGCTATCAGATTAGTTTGGCATGACTTGTTCTTCACAAACCCATGCTGGCTATTCCCTATCACTTTATTACCTTCCAAGTGTTTGCATAGGATTTCCTTAATTACCTGCTCCATTATCTTCCCTGGGACAGACGTTAAACTGACCGGTCTGTAGTTTCCTGGGTTGTTCTTATTCCCCTTTTTATAGATGGGCACAATATTTGCCCTTTTCCGGTCTTCTGGAATCTCCCGTCTGCCATGATTTTTCAAAGATCATAGCTAAAGGCTCAGATTCCTCCTCTATCAGCTCCTTGAGTATCCTGGGATGCATTTCATCAGGACCTGGTGACTTGCTGACATCTAACTTTCCTAAGTGACTTTTAACTTGTTCTTTGTGAATCCTATCTTCTAAACCTACCCTCTCTCTGCTTGTATTCACTACGTTAGGCACACCTCCAGACTTCTCGGTGAAGACCGAAACAAAGAAGTCATTGAGCATCTCCGCCATTTCCAAGTTTCCTGTTACTGCTTCTCCCTCCTCACTAAGCAGTGGGCCTACCCTGTCCTTGGTCTTCCTCTTGCTTTTAATGTATTTATAAAAAGTCTTCTTGTTTCCCTTTATGCCTGTAGCTAGTTTGATCTCATTTTGTGCCTTTGCCTTTCTAATCTTGCCCCTGCATTCCCGTGTTGCTTGCCTATATTCATCCTTTGTTAGTTGTCCTAGTTTCCATTTTTTATATGACTCCTTTTTTATTTTGAGATCGTGCAAGATCTCCTTGTTAAGCCAAGCTGGTCTTTTGCCATATTTTCTATCTTTCCTACACAGCAGAATTGTTTGCTTTTGGGCCCTTAACAACGTCCCTTTGAAATACTTCCAACTCTCCTCAGTTGTTTTTCCCTTCAGTCTTGCTTCCCATGGGACCTTACCTACAAGTTCTCTGAGCTTATCAAAATCTGCCTTCCTGAAATCCATTACCTCAATTGTGCTGGTCTCCCTTCTACCTTTCCTTAAGATCATGAACTCTATTATTTCGTGATCACTGTCCCCTATACTGTCTTCCACTTTCAAGTTCTCAACTAGTTCCTCCCTATTTGTTAAAACCAAATCCAGAACAGCTTCTCCTCTGGTAGCTTTTTCAACCTTCTGAAACAGAAAGTTGTCTCCAATGCAGTCCAGAAACTTATTGGATAGCCTGTGCCTCGCTGTGTTAGTTTCCCAACAAATGTCTGGATAGTTGAAGTCCCCCATCACCACCAAATCTTGGGCTTTGGATAGTTTTGTTAATTGTTTAAAAAAGGCCTCATCCACCTCTTCCACCTGGCTAGGTGGCCTGTAGTAGACTCCTAGCATGATATCACCCTCGTTTTTTACCCCTTTTAGCTTAACCCAGAGACTCTCTACACAGCTATCTCCTACATTCATCTCCACTTCAGTCCAAGTGTGTACATTTTTAATATACAAGGCAACCCCTCCTCCCTTTTTTCCCTGTCTGTCCTTCCTGAGCAAGCCGTACCCTTCCATACCAACATTCCAATCATGCGTCCCATCCCACCAGGTTTCTGTAGCAGTTTAAGACCTTGCACTTTCATAAGGATTTTTGGTCTGTGACTTTATACTCTCATTTCTCTATCTCCTCTGTTCTTTGGCTGCTTTTTTTCCTTAGACTTTGTGCTGCTTTATTACCTACCCTTTGTTTCTATTCCCTTTACTGCTCCTTCTCCCAGGCTACTCTGCTGCCTGGCTTCTCATTAGAGACAAAGTAAAAGTTCTCTCCAGCTCAATATTATTAACATGTCAGAGAGTTTTGTTAATTTCACACTTGCTGTCACCTGCTTGGCTTCTCTTTAGCTCCACTGCTGATGTACATTAAGCAGGGAGTTAGGAAGAGAAACAGAGGGGGAGCAATTTCTAAAGCACCCATTAAATCTTGTTCATTTCAGTTTACTGCTCTGCAGCAAAAACACACAGACAGACTGCACTTTTAGAAAGCATCAGTGTACAGCCTACTAATATATATTGGCCCAAGTAACTAATTTGCCAGGACATTCATGCAGGTGCACCTGTTGTGTGCATGTTTGAAAACCAAAGGAAATAGTAATGAAGGACACTATTAGCAGTTTGTTGGTTCTCTAATAAATAGAATCATAGATGACTGAAAAGGACCTTGAGGGGTCATCTAGTCCAATCCCTGGCACTCATGACAGGACTAAGTAACAGATCATCCCTGACAGGTGTTTGTCTAATGCGCTCTTAAAAACCACTACAACCTGCCTAAGAAAGAGTTACTCACCTTGAGCAGTAACGGTGGTTCTTCGAGATGTGTCCCCGTGAGTGCTCCACTCTGGATGCTGGTGTGTCCTTGCGCCGGCGACCGGAGACTTTTCTAGCAGTTTCTGCCATGCCACGCAGGTGCCGTGGTGCCCTCTAGTGTCATTGGAATTGTTGAGCGTGTGCGCGGTGCGGCTCCTCCGTTCCTTCTCCACCCGCTAGAGTATAAGGCTCCAAGCAGGGGAAGGAGGGA